ATTCCTAATGCTTTTAGTCTACTAACCCATCATCCAAGGGTAGTTTTCACTACAAGTAAAAAATAATTTTTGGACGGACACTATAATTTACAGTTTTTTACTATGTTCAATCTGAATTTTCTTTAAAATAAAAAACATCTATATTGATTCTAACTTTTCTACATCCAACTCAGGTTTATCATTATGTTGAGAACAAAGATTATTAATTTAACCCTTTTAGAAGGGAAGATATGGTCATTTGTTCTGGGAATGTCATTTTTGAGCCTGAGACCTGAAAAACAGACTCAGGGTTGAACAGGTTTTAACCGTTTTTCGACCAGGCCTGGTTGACCTCGCGTGGATCCTCTCACATTTTCGCCCACCTGTTTTTGATCGTGGACGGGACGACCCTTTTGAGCTTTTTCCGGTGCCTGAGAGGAGGTTCGATCAGACGGTCTACCTCGTGTGGACACTCGCTTTTTCACCACCTCGACTGCGGTTTCGGACGTCGCCCACGTTTTCATCGGCGCACGGGTGGCGCACTTCTGGACCCCGTCTCGCCTCGACAGTTTCGGACGTCGCACATGGTTTCATCGGCCCATGGGTGGCGCGCTTCGGGATCCTGTCTGGCCTCTTCCCTCGCCTCGGCAGCAATGTGGCAACAATCTGATCAGCTTATTTTCAGACAGGTTTTTATATAAATGGATCAGGACAAAAAGTTAGAGAATCTTTTTTCCTGAAACTTTCAGAATCTCTTTACACAGGGACACATGTTTATGTATAAAAGACATGAAAAAGTGGATTTCGCATAATAGGTCCCCTTTAACAAATGATGCTACTTTATCATTTCACTCCACTACATATTTGTCAGCAGTTGTTTTACTTTTTACTGTAATAGATGTATTTGACATATTTAGTTACTAGATACTTTCCAGATTTACAGTAGGTTAATACAAAAATATAAATAGGCACATACATTATCATACATTATTATAGGCTAAGCTACCCAGTAGTGTATCAAGTAATTCAAATAAACCCAACTATTAACCAAGTACACCATTGAAGTGAACAACACATTAATTAACTTACAATTTTAAGTAAAAAAATCTTGTGCTTAAATGGGCCACTCTTCACAACAAGTACTTTTACTTTTGGTACTCAACCCCTGTGTTGTCTTCCTATCAAATTGTTTCCTCCTGGTTTGACTTCTTATAAAGCATATTTGAATAAAACCCAAAACACTAATAAAAAGCGATCATTATTATTTGTACATGTTTCTGGCACTAAAATACTATAAATCTTTATCCCGACATAAAAACATTTGGGAAATCTTACCCGAGGACAACAGGAAGGTAAAGTATATTTTGATGCCAATACTTTTGAATGCAGTACAGTACTTTTACTTCTAACAGTATTTTTCCACGGTATTGCTGCTTTTACTTAAGTAAATCATCCTAGTACTTCTTCCACCTCTGAACAATACATACAAAAACAGAAGGTGTGGATAGGCATGTGGAAAACATGAAATTGAAAAATGGCACTAAAACAAACAGGACATTTTTACCTTACATTTCACTAAGAAAATTATATTTTCATGAATCACAAATAAGAAAATGTTTGTGAACATCCTTTTTTAATGAATAACAAACATTACAAAAAGAACTGTCCCACTGCAAGAAAAATAAATAGGAACATTGTGTGAGTCTGTTCTTTCTGGTCATTCTGGATATATTAAATAATCTACCATGAAAGCAAACTAGACATCTTTTTGAAGTCACTCATATAAGGATATTGACTATTTATCCTTATAACTGAAATGTAACGCACCATAAAATTAACAATTATCTCGATAATGGAATGGAAAAAATGATGGCAAATCACCAGGACCAACTTATTTTGTGTTGAGGGTTTTTCACATGATCCGTGATGAAAGATCCTATAGGCTGCTGTCCTATTCCTATTGTGTAACATATTTTAACTTTAATTTTTTTTCAAAGATGGCACATTTGCAATAACCCAAACCCTAAATGGAATATCCATAGTTTGTTTTTTATTGAATCAGGGGGAATAAAGGAGCACAAAAACTAAATTGTTGTGAACAGAGTTTATTAGTTCAAGCCAGGGACATCCAGCTAGACATCCAGAGACAGACAAAGCATGTCTCTGCACTAAACACACTGTGTGTTCAGTGGAGCCCACAATATAGCATCTCCAGTCTGGCCACAGAAACAGGATCATAGCAGAAATATTATCATGTTTACTTTGCTAACGTGGTGTTCCTGTATGCCTCTACCTGTCGTGCATTCTGAAGGAAGTATGGTCATTTGTTTCCCTGCTCCCTCTGTTTACTGAAATAAATACCTAAAGTCAAATGGTAATCTACAATACATAAAGACCCATACATTTTTTTACTTTTTTTATAAGAATTCATTCAAGTTGACTATTATTAAAATATAAACTAAATAAATATTCTAAAAAATGTGTCTCAACAATTTCTTATCAAAAAGACACATACAAATATTTTGTAGAACAGCGTGTGTAAAGGTGGCCCTAAAAAGCATTGAGTGAAACAGAGCTGAGATGCAGAAGATGTTTCTGTAGTGAAGCTCTCAGAAAGTCATTGAGCTGATCTCCCAATTGGAGATGTCAGCGTGTCCTTGTACAGCTGACCCCTGCACTGCAGTGTGCTCATGGTCTGGTGGCTAAAGAGGGTGTCACTATAAGATAAATTCATTTTCTTTTTACTGTCGTCCATCTAAAGACATCAGAATAATTTAACTTTTAATGTTGTACATTTAATGTTTTTGCATAGACGTACTATCTGCTATTCACTGCAAATTCTGTATTTTAAGATTTATATGAATGTTTGCTATTGTCCTATCTGTAAATGGAGCTAAACACACACAATTGTACAGGTGTGTATAAATGAAGGCTGCATTTGAAGATGGGTGGGGTTCAAATAAGGTTAGCAGGGAATGATTGAGGAAGGCCCCTATATTAGCAGCACATTAGGCAGATAATGAGAAAGATACGGTGTAAAAAATGAACCTTTCTTTCCTTCTTTTGCTTGTATCAATATAAAAGTGGATTGCACATCAACGTTAGGAGCAATAAAGACCAGTGAACAGGAACTCTTTCTAGTGGATGGATACTGTGGCTGCTCAGGTTTCAGCCTGAGTGAAACACAATGCAATTGTTTTGTGACCTTGCTGTTTGCACAGTCTCTCTCTGCTCTCTCTCTCTCTCTCTCTCTCTCTCTCTCTCTCTCTCTCTCTCTCTCTATCACCGAAACACTCTATCATCCTTGTATAGAAAATCATATCGTTATTGTCTACAGCAGCACACAGAGAATATGAGTGAGAATCAGAACAGATAAAAAGGATGATGTCACTTGCATGAATCATACTAAATGATGTGTCCCATATACACTTGTCCTCTTGGTTTTTAAGGTGGGTCAAGCTAAAGGCTCGGTTCTATATGTGAGTGTAAAAGGAAATATATTTAGATTATTTAGAAGTAGCTACCAGCGGCCACTACAGTAAATGCAGGAGGAGTGGTGATATTGTTTCCAGCCTTCCTCCCAGCTCTGTTCTGCCATGTCTAAACTCAGTGGCACAGGAGCCTGAATAATTCATTGGTTCAGTGAGCGGCTGCATTCAGCCCGGTGTGACGGACACGTTTTCTTAAAGAGACTCTCTTGGTGTGTGTCTATCAAAGCATGTCAGGTAAACTCCCACCACGACCACATTCAACATGGAAACTGAATATCATGAATTAAAAGATAATTAACAAATCCTTTTCTCATGGTCAATTAAAGGAACTGCTGATTATTATTATTATTATAGATTTTTGGATTAAACAATTTAAAAAAAGAAGAAAACTTCAATTTCTTTACTTTAAATTGCCTTTTTATTTAATTTTTTTAATAAATGACATTTTATGGACTATTATTGGGATTATTATTATTATTAAACATTTTAACTTAATGATTGGTTATTACAATATCTCCATATGTAAAGTAAATGTACTGATTATATATCATTATGGCCCATTTCCCAAATAAAATATTAAATATAATTATTGATGCATTAATGTGTAGCCGTAACTTTATTGTGGCAGCTGGCAAAGGTAAAGCTAATTTTAACTACTTACCATACTGCTCTATGTTATTGTTTGGTATAATCACAATAAGTAATTTTTGTATTTAATAGTATAACTCTAGAAATATCATGTACAAGTGGTCAAATAAAGTGATGGAATTTAAGTAAAAAGTAAAATATTTCCCTCTGAAATAAAATGGATTAGAATTATTAATTGAAATAAAATCTGGAGCATAAATACCCCAAACATTTTTGTAAATACTTGAGTATATGTATTCTTAGTCAATGTTTCGTCCTGCTGTCATCAGAACCAAAGTGTGGGATTTTGTCTGTGAGATAAGCTCCCTCTGGTGGAATAAAAACAAATGGACACCGTAGATTGGTACAATGTTACAAGGTAAGAAAACATTAAACCACTTTCCAGAAGGTACAATAAAACCTCTGTCTTATCATTAGCTCAGAGCATTTGCCTCACTAGTCATGTTATGGAAAGATAAATAAAGGAGGACAGAGTATTGCCGCAAAACAGCTGCAAAGAGACCACAAAGGGTCTATAAAAACGGGCAAAACAACCCCCAAGCGAAGAAAGGGATTAACAAAAATCAGCGACACAGAGATACAAAATGACAGCCAAAAGACCAAAACAAGTGAAACAAAACATTTACAAAAAGAAAGAAAAGGACTAAGAGGCTAAAAAACGATACAGTCTGTGTGTAGGAAAGGTGGTGGTTTGCATCTCTTCCTTTATTGTTATCTCTGGGCCCATTGTCTCATTATCCACCAGGGTCTTGTACTGTATATATTTATTTTGAAATGTGAATATTGTGTAACCCTGACACATTTGAAATAACATCAACTGTCATAAGTGCAATTTCAACAGAAAATGTATCTCAGAGGCAAAGAAAGACAGCACATATTTGGCGAGGTTAATGGAGTTTATTGAGTTCATTGACACATTGGAACATCATCATCCTGACATGTACAATCAAATTCAACATAATGTCATGACAAAAGGAAATATAATTATAGTGACAGAAGTATTTGGTATGTTACTGACATTTCACCGCTACGTTACTTGCAATCGCACTGACCACTTGCACAGCGGTCAAATCCACATTTACCACAGTTTACATCCATTACAGCAACAGGGGGTGACAGCTCGGCATTAGTAAAACAAATGTCTACAACTTTGAACATGGGATGAAAAACAGATATTAATTGTTGAAAGCCTCTGCTGTAAGATTATTTTTCTTATATTGCTAGCCTGACGAATAATGACAAAAGGCAATAACCTGCACATAATGATTAGTATAGTACAGTGTGAAACTCTGTTGAGAAAGGTTATTAAAATCACTCTTAACACAGAAATATTATTCTTTGCCAAATTCTAAATCATACTTTTCAGCTTTATCACAACACTGCAGTCTGTCCCGCTGTAAATAACATTTGCAAAAGTATTACTTCTGTTGTATTATAAATAAAATTGTCACTATTATGGACCATTTCAAAAGCTTGTACTACTAAAACACTATTAAAATAAATTCACTAGTAATATATGTTAATTAGGCTGACATTTAACAGCACCTTTAAATGGTAACATTACAGTACAGAGTGTACTGTGTTATAAAACCGTATACATGTATTTGCATGGATGGACATACGCGTACATCTGACTTCAATACAGTCTTATAGCCACTGTTACCCTGCCATACCATGCATAGTGCACAGGACCAATGCCCACTGTTTTCACATTAAAAAAAAAAGTGTGGTGATTCCTCAATAACTATAAAGGTATGACATCTAAGTACTTCAATTATTTGTTTTTAGGTGACTAGTGAAGTATTCCCACAGTACCTAATTTTTTCTATATGGTTTGTGATTTTATTCCCACAATTAATATACTAAGTGGCCCCTGAAATGACCCAACATTCTTTTGCAATATGACCAGCTGTCTGATAATTGAATTTGGAAAAGAAGTGGAAATTGTTGACGAAAAATGATCAACCCATGGAGTATGGAGTCCTTTAAAATAATATTTAAAATCAAATATTCAATTTGACTTTTATTTCCCTTATCCTTTTCATGATATGTGATTAAGTTAGTCCCATTCACCAGTCATTGTGAAGTTGATATTTAGGGAAATATTATCTCATAAAAAATGTACTTTTATGTTCTGAATTTCTCACTGAAGGGAGGGGGAGGCAATAGTGAATTCCTCTTCATACACAAGCTAATGAGAAAACATTTTACTAGCTGTAGCTAATACATTAGGTTGGAAACAATTAAAGAAACAGTTAAAATGGTGGGTTAATGTTCTTGTTTGTTGCTGGGCACAGTGTCTATATCAATTCAATCTCTGTGTGTCCTGTGCAGAAACAGCCTTGTTTAGCACTAGGTCTTAAAGCAAGGGGAAACCGGTAGCTAATTAGATTGGCCAGACTGAGAAAAAAATCTCCTTTGAAAAACCCTGAAGACGTCTTTTTATACAGAGCATTCTGTGTTTGAACACACTATAAGACAAAAATACAAAAATGAGGCCTGTGTCTAAATTTGAGTTTTGTGTCTGTTTTTGAGCTCCTAACGTTAAGTGCGGAACGCTAGACACTTCTCATCCTTGATTGTAGCCATCTTGTCTATGTAGCGGAAGGCAATCCATCCACAAAATGTATTGGTGACTACCTTGCTGGCTTAAAATATATTCTGTACCGGTATAATTGTCTAGTTTAAGTTTTATGTTTAGTTTTTAACTTGCTAGCCATAGTTTGGCTAGCCTTTTCCTCTTTATTTCTAATCTAGCATGAACACACCTACAGTAGCTATTTCTGTACAAAATGCACAGAGATCACACTTCATATCAATCTGACTGGGTAAGATTACAAACAAATGTATTTCCCCAAATACTTTAAGAATGAAAAAGAGTCTGTTCACTGGGTTGTGATACAGTCATTTTGATTGGTTTAAAACTTGGTGTAAAAAGCTATGAGCATAGCTTTAGCCATTGCAGCTATCCATGCTGGAGTCATTGAGGCACAACTTCCTTCAGAGTAGCCAGGGCTGAATGGATGCGGACATGAAGCCTGTTCTCAAAGTCATAGTCCGTAAAGTCCTCCTAAGATAGATAAATGGATGAATAGATAAAACATGTTATTAGACACCTCTTACATGCAATACATTTATAATATTTTAATAAACAAATTAATTCTAAATTAGAATATTGCTGTGTCGATATTTTACCTTAGCTTGAAGTAGAAATGACCTCCCCTTTCCAACAGTCTGGATTGTAATATAGAAAGGACCAGGTTATAACTGTGCATGTAGTCACATCATTAAAGTCTAAATAAAAATGTGAATGCTGTGAAAACTGACCTCCTGTTTGGCAAGGAGTATGCATCCAAGCTCATAGACGGCATATGGCTGAACATAAGAGTTGATCTGTCGTCCATACTCATCTCTTGCAGCCAGCTGGAACGACTGGATGACAGATCAAATGGAAAAAAGAGTGAGCTGAGAAACATTCAAAGAGCAAAGTAATTCAGTGCTTAATGCCGACTGATACCTGAACAGCATCCCTCATATTTCCATGACATTTGTGAACAGCACCAAGAAGAAGGTGTTTCAGACCCCTGCAGGAAGCCTCATCTAAACTCTGCAACACTGAACAGAAATACAGAGAAATAACACAGGGGTAAAAATAATTTCTTAGACATCCAGCTGCAGCTCACTTTTACTGCTATACAACATGAAGGTTACATTTACCTTGATTCATTATCTGCAGTTTAGATGAGGAGCAGTTTTGAAGTGCTTTCCACAGATACAGCACTTCAATTACACCGAGGATGCATAACTCTCTGGTGGGAGAGATCTTTCTCAATCTCTCAGCCTGCAGATAGGCACCGTAGAGAGAAGGAACACTTTTGTGACACACTTGTGATGACCTTGGAAAAAGAGGGGGAAAAAGGCTAAATCTGCTGCAAAACTCACTCTTTTGACTGCAAACTGCTCTATCTGGTTGTTTTTTCTCTTGAACAGCTTCTGCACATCTTTAAAGACACCGCTGGCTCCATCCAGGTCACCTGAAGCACCCTGACAAACTGGAAAAACATAAAGAATACAAGGTAACATACTTACATACAGTACAGATATCCAAGCAGTGTAAGCATATGTTATGGTGGGACAGGCTTACCTCCGGTCAAGTAGGCATAGTAGCACTGGGACCAACGCGACTCATTCTTCAGCCTCTCAAACGCTCTGTATGCATCTTCAAAATTCATCTCTATCATGCTACACCAACCTGAAACAAAAATAAGAGTCAAATGAATCCCTCGCTGTGATCAACGCTTAGTGGCCAGTATGTCACAACTAACCTAACATATAAACACATACCAATCTCATAGAGACACACATGCTGGATCTCTCTTTGGTCTGATGCAAGCTCTAATGCATCATGGAAACAGGCCAAAGCACTGTTGATATGGCACTGTGGACAAAGGAGAGAGCACACATCAGCAGAGGTTCTGTTGGACACACACGACATGCATGTGTTGAGTAATGGAGGAATACAAATAGATGGTGGATTAGATGGTGAGTTAATGAGCCATCTGACATGCATGTTTTACTTTTTCGTTTGTAAAAAAACCTTGTCTTTTTTGTTTTAATACTGATTTTGGCCAGAAAAGGAAACCAACATTTTACAATTTATCCTAAACTAAAAAACACACTCTGAAGGCGTTTCGGTTATGAAACAAAAATACCCAAACAGGACAACGACGTGTGGTAGCGACCTGTCAATCACAAGGTAGCCACACCCTAAGCATACGCTATTTATAATCTATTTTACTTTTTTTCTAGACGACTATATACAATCCTCTTGTAACCAGAAGATTTGCCCCCCACTGGCCATTAATGAGAATGCAAGTTTAGGGCTCTTCCACAAGCTTCACTTTTCAGAACCGGAGGCAGTGGCGGTTCTAGACCAATTTTACTGGGGGGGGGGGCAGGCTGTGGCCAGTCATTTTATAAGAAGTGCACAATAAACGCGGATTAAAAAAGACAAAGACAGTAAAAAGTGCTTAATCCAGACAAAGATCATTTCACCTGAAAATTGATCACTACCGCCTCTAAGGGCTTCTGAGGACTCTTTTCAGATTCTTCTATAATAAAAAATGTCTTTCTATTTCCCATCGAATGTCTTTGTCTAACATTACATACAAAAATAAATCACTTCAATGAGGTTTGATGGAGTCTGCTGCACATACCTCTAGCCTGTGAACTCGTCCTTTAAAGAACATGAAGAGAGATGAGTTGGGGTAAACCACAGACTTCCTCTGCAGAATTGCTTTGGCTTCCAGCAGCCCCTCATGTGTGTCGGAGCCATCCAGAGCAAAGAAGGGCAGCACTACTGTGTGGTACCACAAGAGGGCCAACCTGAGCAACACAAGAGGCACTCTGTCAGTCAGAAAACTGAGATCTGCAGCTCTATCAGAATCTGTAATACACTGAATAACATGAAAGGTAAATGTGACAGAGCACTGTTAGTTGTATTTACTTAAAAAGGCATGAAATGTTTTTCAGGTATGTATAAACGTAGGCATGTGAGCATGAACATGTTTACAAATTATAATAATTACGTTTTATATGTGTAGTATTTTTCATACACCTGGTGCAGCTCAAAGTGCTTTCGTAACATGGCACACATCACAAATTAAAACAGAGAACAAGAAGTTCACTTCAGGCCAGACGGTAAAACCTTTTTGCACACATGCAGCATAAGAGCAAAATATAACAGTTCAACGGACACAGGGAGGTAAAAGGTACGATAATAATAAAGAAATAAAAATAAACTAATAATGAAGATTAAAAGACCAATTAATATATATTTGAGAACTGCCATCAAAGTTTAATTTACAGTTTGAAGATCAAGCCCAAGCCGTTATCACCTAAACCAGCGTTTCTCAAAGTGTGGGGCGCGACCGCCCCACTGGTGGGGCGCAGAGATGTGATAGGTGGGTCGCGAATGGACGCGATGAACGGGAGTTGTTTTTTTAATATATTTATACATTTTTTGGACCTCAGGCCGGAATCGAACCTGGGTCCTCGCGGGCGTTAGTGGACTGTTACAACCGGAGACTCGCAACGGCGGTGGACTTTCACAGCGCCGGAGCCGCCGGAGCCTCGCAACGGCGGGTGTTTGAGGCAGTGGATACGGTACCGGCGCAGCGGCGCTGTGAAAGTCCACGGCCCACCTACGTCAGAGCCAGCAGCCCACCAAAGGCAGCGGCCCACCGGGAAAAGTCCCTAATCTGGCCAATCCGAGCCTGCTCACACACACAACTGAAGCCAAAATCATGTACAGACATATGTACAAATCTCTCATACACACATGTGAAATGCTCACACACACACACACACACACACACACACACACACACACACACACACACACACACACACACACACACACACGCACGCACGCACGCACGCACGCACGCACGCACACGCACACACGCACACACGCACACAACAGCGTTGCAGTCGGGAAGAAAAGCAACGTGGAGCGGCACCTCACCACCTTATAATTGGGTGACCAGACGTCCCCGTTTTCCGGGGACAGTCCCCGTTTGTATTGGCCTGTCCCCAGTTGAAACTGTCCCCGGGA